ATTCTTTCATAACATAAAATTTTTAGAATGTATAAAATAACACATTCAATAAGATGGCAACACTGTTCACAACCTGATAGAATAGAATCTAAATCTATTCGTTTATTATTTAACCTGGATTTTACAGCAGCTGATTGGTTCTAAATTTGTGAATTTTAAATGTTGCATTCCTTTCTCAACAAACAAGTATTTTGATTTCATACGGTTTATTTGAAACTATTTATTTTAGAGTTAAGTCAATAAAGTCCAAAAGACAGAACTTTTTTTTGACACTGATCCTAAATGTTTAGTAAACAATTTAATCATATGTAAACTTTGTGTGCAAATATTTCCTATTTTATCTTTGATTGCTTTTTAGTAATGCCAAAAATAAAAATAGATTTGGATAGAGAGATGACAACCTAATTTCTTTAACATACAAGTGAGTGCTGAAAAGTTCTCAGATTGACAAAGAAGGAATTAAAATAAATTTAACGTTTGATTATTTGATCAGATTTTGTTAAGTGTATTGGATCAAAATCTTTTCAGTACCTACTCACATGAACATCAGTAAGGAAAAACTTTGGAATAAAGATAGCCCAAAATGAAACAAGTGATAAAAAGAATAAAAATTAAAAACTAGCATTTGGCATATCTTTAAGAAGCAAGAGATACCATCATATTTCCAAATAGATTGGGCACACCGAGGTGGTGTAATGATTAGCAAGCTTGTCTCACTAGAAAAATTACAATTGAGTAGTGAATTTGATCCTCACTGGGTACCCCATACTTTCGGCCCTGTGCCACATCTAAGCTACACTTAGAAAATCACTATTTCAAAATAGATTAACTCCATTCAGAAACATATCCAAGGAACATATGACAAAAATAACCACAAAATATAGAAAACCAAGTTAGCAACAGCATTAAGTAATAACAAAACTCGGATGTACATTGCACAAGGTTAAGGCAATAAGAGATATCAGTAGATATTGATAAACATTCCCACAATAAGACAGCGTCAAAAGAATGGTTTTTCCCATGAAAGTGCTTTTCTACTTACCTTCACTCTTCAGCAATGTTTTTTGTTTTAAAAAGCAATGATTAGAATTGTGCTAAAACCTAAACATATGAAAGTGAATTTACACTTTTTTTGTTCTTTAGAATTTACAACAAAAATATTAAACATTATTTATTTATCAGATTGTTTATTTACAAGAATAATTTTATATTTTTATTTATAACATTATAAAAAAAACTAATTATTAATACAATTAAAAAATTAATTAATGCAATGTATTATTTATCATTTACTAATTTACAAAGAAGTAAATGTGAAAATAATGTTTCATTCATAAATTTATAAATATTTACTAACTAAATTAAAATATGTGAACCAGCTATAGGGAAATCCTTATTTACCAATTTTTTTAGAAAGTTAGAATGAGCCGATGTTTTGCGAACTATTCCAATAAATAACAAATAGTGTAAATAAACAATCTAATAAATAAATAGGGTTTACTATTTTTCTCAAGAATAAAGAAAATGTATAAGTTAATTTTCATATTACAATTCTAATCATCACTTTTTAAAACAATAAACATTGCTGAAAGAAGAGTGAAAGTCGTAAAAAAAAAGAAAAAAAAAAAAGAAAAAAGTGGTGCCAGGGAAGACGCTCCGTCTTATTGCAGGCATGTTTAGCCAGGTTTGCTGAAATATGAATTAGAAATACTCGAGATAAGCAACCATTATGTGTTTCAAGGCATAAACTATTGTGAATCATAAAGTCTTTGTAGCCTAATCAGTAAGACAGCTGTCTCTGAAGAATATAAAGAAGCAAGTCTCAGCAGAGGATCATTCTTTATCTATGATCTACATTACTAAAACCACGAAATAGCAATCTGGTAGTTAAATAATAGAAAAAGCAACTGTAATTAAATTAAAAGAAAAACTATATCAAATTAATAATTATTGACAATGTTCCATCAAAATGTTTCAATATCAGATTGTTTTAATATTTTTGTCCTTCAATATTATCCTGTGTTATAGCTTTCAACTTCAAATGAATGCATCCAAATTTATATTTAAGAACACAGAATACAGTTTCTTTTTAATTTATTAATGATTTATGGAATGTTAAATATTGTATTATCATCAAAGATGTTTCTGGCTATTGCTGATGGAATGTTCTTTATAAGCATTCTATAAAGTTAATATCATATAAACAATAATCAAAAACAATGAAAGCATAAAATAGTAAGAAAATATTTAACATATGAATTATTTGAATATCAAATGTGTTTTTTTTTAAATTTTCTAAATGATATTTGTCTTTTTGTGTTGTTATCTTTGGTCACTTAGCTGCAAATATAACCATTTTATGGAACAGTGTTGGTTCTGCTCTATCCTGGTCTCATGGGCATCTAATCATATGTTACCCCCTCACACACCATGGCATGAATAAATATAATCCTTAGTGAATATCCTTCATCATGGAACAACATGACACATTAATTAGTGGTTCGCAAAAAAATAAGCAGAATAGAAAACCCATGTTAGGAAAAATTAAACTAAAATCTTTATTTTATTTATTATGTGCTCTGAACAAAAGCACATCATCATTAGGCAGTGAATCTTCAAAAAACCCTATGTGAGCACTTATATTGAGACACCTCACTTTCAGTTGTTCACTTTTATTAGAGTGGGTATTTGAGAACCAAAATACAATATCTGCAATAGACATGTAGATTTCTCACAATATTAAGTAAGCGATCCCGTAAGCTGTAAAAAAAAAGTGCTACCTTGACAACACTGTTAATTTTTGTTATAAACTATTCATGAACCATGATGTCATAGAAAATCATAATTAATCTCTTGAATACATTTCTGCTCATAAAAAACACATTATTTGTTGATCTCTGAGGTCTTAGCTAAAGACTGGGTCTATAAGAATCTTTTAAATTACACTAATCACTTAAAATATTAAGGTAATATATTTGAACTCGGATACAATGCATGTGCATCTGTTTGTGTATGAATCTAAGAACAGTTAGTAAGAAGTAATAATGTTATCTCTTGGTCATTAAGCATTGGTTACGATGTTGTCATTATTTTATCCTGGTTGTATTTTTCAAGACTGAGGCTTGCCTTTTGCATTATTGTTGCTTTTTTAATCATCAAAACAGAGAAATGACAACAATTATTATGTTCTCATAATAATAACAACAACATCTGTTGGGAAGTAATAATTGTTTTTCTATTGTTAGCAAATTTGACCTTCACAAAATGACTCCAAAAACTGAAAATGAATAAAAATAAATAATCAGTATATATAAATACTTGAAGCTTTAATGCTCATGTATCAATGTGTGTCCATTTAAATAAATATTAATGAAACAAAAACACTGAAATGAAATTAAAAAAATGCAGCTGAAGAAGGAAAGGAAGAAATTTCTGAATAACTATTAACAAGAGATATACAACATAATTGCAGTAAAAGATTTTATTGTGGAAACAAATACGACCAAGAATGTTAGCTGCAGTGGAAATTTCCATCATTTGCAGCTCAGCTACAGAACTGCAAATGACATGTTAATTAATGAAGAACCCTGAAAACACACCAATCAAAAAAGTTAAAGATGAAAAAAGAATTCTAAATTATCTTAAAGCATCATATAAAAAACAGGGCATAGTAATTGTTGCTAAAAGAATTTTCATGAAATTGTTGTAATGGTCATTGCAACAAAGGATGGTTATTATAGAAAAAAATTACTTCCAAAGTAAAATAGAACAATTTATTCATTTTTAAAGTAATTTGCTATATTTAAAAAACAATCAAAAATAACTTCACCTAACATTTAATCTATCTTATTAAGATTACTGTTCATAATCAACAGCATGAGAGTTTAGATATATACATTTTTGTACATAATTATCTTATTGAAAACTACTACATTTTGTAGAATATTCCATTTCACAAAATGGCTACATTGGCTGACTTTTTGAGACACAAATTGCAACAGGAACAATTAGGATAATAATTTGAATGTCCTACCAAAATGATATTCAAAAATCTGATCATTTTTAAGTGAGAAGGAGGTAAATATTTTTTCATTGTGTCTTTTTACATACATTATGTTAAACAGCTATCATTGATTTTGCATTTAACTCGTTTAAAAGGCAAATGGATTTTGGTAATTTTATCTGATTATTTTTGGGCTCAACATTGCAATGAAAAATGAAAAACTTGAATATTTATATTAAATTTTTCATTTTTTATTTGCTAAAGATTTGACAATGAAGTGGTTGTATGGAATGCAGCATTGGAGGCAAAGAACCTAACCCATATCAAAATTATTTCAAATTTTTCATATTCTTTATCTCCATTAATAAAAAGAAAATCAGTTCACTTTTGATAGGCAGATCCCATCAGCATTTTAAATTTCACCAGTAGAGAAGAGAAATTATAATATAAAGCTAATTTACAAACTTTAACATGCCAATTCAAGAGATCAATTTTTATAATGTTTCAAATTGTTTCCCAGATCCTTGTTTTTTTTCAAAACAAGGGAAAATTGTTTATATCATTTGGTTGAAAGGAAGCAAAAGAATCTACTGAAAGAAAGTATTTCAAAATATAAAAAAATATTGTAAAATTACAATGTTATTCAATATATAATTTTTAAGATAAACTGAAATATCACATATATTGCATAATCATTGTCATATAAAAATTTTAGCATATTAGAGTATTAAAAAAATCTGAGCAACAAGTTTACACTATATTTTTTCTCATTATTGGATGATAATAGTGATAATCAGATCAAAAGAATCTTTCTCAAAAGCTTTCTCAGTTTGTAGTACACAGAAATAAAAACTTAAAATACAAAAACGTTATCAACATATCTTGAATAAAATATGGTAACATTAACCATATAATTTTAGCTTAAAACTTGTTTTTTTAATCAAATATACAAAGTACATCAATTGTAATATCAGATAACAACCTGACCACTGTCAATTCAGGTCCATGGAAGAAAATTTGAGAAAGCCATTGTTCCAATGATACTATATGCTATAAAGTAAGTAAGGATTAATTTGGAGGCAACTGAGGAATTCTTCCAAAGATGTTCTTGCAAAATAATGTAGAGTCTTTTAATCACAGGAGAAAATTTCTGGCTAATAAGTAATTGACTTTGGTCATTATTGATTGGTTTTGTCATTAAATATGCTGAAAACCAATAAATAAGAGGAGAGCTGGAAGCCATGAGTCTGGTAAGAACCTGGAAAACAATAAAATGTAACATGAAATATTATAGAAAGATCAATATCAAATATGACAATGTAAATGATTGGTTTTTATATTATTTCATTTGTTCAATTCATTGTGACTATAACATTACCAGCATTACAAATGGTTTTCTAATTTACAAGTTTTACACTTCTTGATATGAAAAAACTATTTCTTGTATTGTAAGACTGACAATATTTTAAACCACTTTAATGTCATAAAGGGTAAATTTAAAAAGATTCAAATATTAATATCTGATATCTTAACTATATTTTTCATACTTGAATGATTCAAAGAATTTGCAATTATAAATCAAAATGTATTTGTGAATTTATCAATAAACAGCTTAATATTGGATTAATGATAGAGAAATTTCAGTCAAAGGCTTTAAAATTAGTGAGATAACATGTATTTTATTGCATTAGTCAACTTTTTATCTATATTTTATTGGCAGGGTATTTTGGAATGTGAAGCAGGTGTAAATATAATATTGTTAAGAAAATATCAGAAAACGTTAAAAATTATTAACAATCTCAAATCTAAAATAAATTGTCAGTTTTATTGTAAACAAATTATTTCTTTTAGCAAAAATATTTGGTTTTTTAACTCTTCAGATATGTATCAAAAGAGATGGTGATTAAATAGTGCAAAAACTTTACATTTGTTTCTCTAATATATTTGAGGTTTTACAAAATGTTTAGCAATAGTTTTTATTCAATTACAAATTTCTGAAATTTTAGAATGAGCTTTTCATCTAAATATAATTATAGCTTTTTTCTAAAATAAATTTTCATCAAAGTATCTGCTTGCTAATGAAATAAAATGGTGAAATTGATCGATGATGAAGCTAGAATGGGTTTTTTATCAAATCTACAGTATGGGTACTGGTAATATGGAAAATTGAAAATTAATACAGCATCTTTTTTTTTTTTAAATAAATATATATATATATATATATATATATATATTCACAATAATAATGTTCTCATCTTGTTGCAAGATTCTCGATATAATTTTGGATTTCATAAATATGTCAAACCATGAAATATATGAAAATATAAAGTAATAAAAACAAGTTGTATTTTCGACTTTGCATATTTTTAACAAGATTAAAATTGAGCCAGACAGCTGACAATACATATAACTATTAAAAACGATTTAGACAGCAAACAAAAAATTAAATAAACAAAACAAATATGAACCTGCAACTTTTTTCAAGAAAGAAAGAAAATTTTTTTAAATATTTTAGTTAACAGAAATTTTTAGTGAATCTGTTGTAGGTTTTTAATAGAATTAGTAACCAATTCTATTTTGAACTGAAAATAAATGAAATAAACACAATTAAATCATTCTTTCACTTTATAAAAATCAAACATTTGAAAGAAAGCATTTTCTAACCAGTATGGGTTTTTTTTTTTTTTTGTTACTGAAGTAATGTTAAAATGTTTTAAGAAGAAATGAACTGAATTGAGACAGTGGTTGAAGTCAGTCTAACATTAACTATAAATTGTACAAAGATTTCTTGTAATGAGAGAAAAATGAAAAGTCTGACTTACTTGCACATGCATGCAGAAAAATCCAAAAACAGTGAAAAACAATGTGTAGACACCATAAACAAACACTTTGGCACTACTGTATCCACAATCAACCCACTTTTTGCTTATATTATCTGAAATGGTTTGCCCAGAAGGATAGAGTCCAAGATAATGGCAATGATGTTTTCGTAAACTGTAGTATATGCTACAGGCTGATAAACAAAGGCACGTCATTGGCAGGGCCAATAAGAAGTTTGGAATCTGCTTCAGTTGAAAGTAATTGAGGAATCCAACTTCCCAATAATGGCTTTGGATGTAAGTGTAGGAGACAGGAATCTTTTGGTAACACCAAGGAGACAATGGAGTTTCATTGCCGGGAAATTTGAGCCCAAATCGTCGGCCATAAGCTAATACAGAAGATGCAAATGGGCCTTGCGGATATTCATTTGGTTTGCAGTAGAGTAGAAATGTGTAATACTGATAAAATAAGAATGGGGCAAGGAGAAGAACAATCTGAAAAATCATTGGACAGATTATTTTCCAAAAAATGGCTATAATCAGATCCAGAAGTCTCTTAAAAGGAACTCCAAACACAAAATATAATAGTTTCTGGAAATTGAAATACAAAACAAAACCCAGTGCCACAATTCCATTGGACCGTGTCATTGCACTGAAACCAAACAACAAAGCTGATAAAACCAATAACTGTTTATGAGCCAGCACCATAGCACTGAATGAAAGAAGACTAAATAAACTTTCTGAATATGGTGCAATTGTAAAAACAGATGCTGGTGTTAGTGTATAGAGCAAAGCAGAATTATATGCAAGATGTTTGTCACAAGTTACTTTTAGTCCCAGAGTGTACAGAATTTGTGTTGAGGACACAGAGCAGAACAAATTAATAAAAACTGCAGTGAGTAACAGCAGACGAGAGTAAGAAAGGACATAATGTAATGGAAAAAGCAAAGTGTTGGCCACAGTCCTTACAGTCAGGGGAAAAAGTGGGAAAAAAGCAAGACAGTTCTCATAAGTGTATCCATGTTCAGCAATGTGAAGAAAATATACAGCATCCCATCGTCTTAGTCCTGCAAACAAGATATCAACCAAAGTGTCTGCAAAATTGACTGGTGCATCTTCCTCGATAAAAGGATTGAAAACTTCAGCATCATGGTCAGGAATTAGGGCATTAGAAACCACCTGTAACATGAAAAAATACACATTTATTTTTTTCAATATTCTGTTCATTAACACATATGTCTGCTACAAGGCTTTAAGTCTTATTCTAAACATTATCCATTGGTCAGCTTAACTAAAAGACATCTATCTACCAAGTCCTCTTCCTAGATTTCTTATTAAGTTTGCTTCAACTCATTTAAATCATACCAGTAAAGGTACAAACTTTCTTGTCTCATTTTCTTCTCAATGTTTATTATTAATTCCTAAACTATTAACTAGGAACTAAATTTATTTCTATGATTTTTGCACTGGAATTCAACAAAGATATACAAAAAAAAAATGGTCATGTAAAAAGGGAGGAACTTGATAATATAAATTTGATTATAAAGACAAAATACAGATATTAAGGACAAAAATTGTATAAATTTTGATTGGGTTGCTAAATATTAAAAAAATTAAATTCAGAATTGTATAAATATATTGAACATTTAGTTGCAATATTATTTTGTCATAGAAATGATAATAAAAATAATTATAATTACATGTTACATATTATACAAAGAGAAATATGTCCTATGTGAAATACTTAGACTTGCTTGGTGAGTATTATTTATTAAGTGTAAATGGCAAATTTTCATTTTCATAAACACTTATAATAAATTAATGCAAATTTTATTCACAAACACAATTACTTCAAAAGCTGCTTAATAAACAATGTATTCAACTTTAGCTGCAAAGATAAAATTTTATGGATATCATAATTACTATTCTTTCTCAAATACAGGTAAGTAATAGTGATTTCTATCCCATGAGAAATTGCCAAGCTAAATTTAGTAGCCTTGCATTAAATGATGTGAACATGAACAAAAATTATAAACATAATTGCATGTCACCAACTTAAACAAAAAGAAAAATGCAGAACTTGATGTTGATCCATTTAATTTTTAATGTTATTTTCAGTTTTATTTTTTACTGTTATTTTAAACACAATGTTTAGTCATTATAATGTTTAACATTCCTCAGAGGCATATTGCATTAGATAATCTTTAGAAGTCACTCACGGATTTTCTTCCTTCCTTTTCAAATAGTATACCATTGTCTAACAGAGTGAAGATATAAAGACTTGGTAGTATTCAGTATCTGTCTATATTTCTGAGATGAGGTATTATGTACATTATTTACATTATTCAAACCATATTTATTACAACGTTTCAGCCGGTTTCAGGTGGTTGGAATGTCGAACTGAACCCTTTATTTCGCTCACCGGGGTAGACTGTTCTAGTTCCATGTGCCATGTTTAATGGATGTCAGTTATCAGTTATCTCCTGTTAATTTCCTGCTGAAAGTTCCCCACTGCCTTAACAGGGTATTGAACTCACACTCTGGGTCCTGTCACTGGATCTAACCAACGCCTTTATCCACTGTGCCATGAGTTCTTGACATCTGGGTATGAATTTCTGGGTATTATAAAACTAATGTCTTCATCAACCATTTTTTACCAGTGCTCAAATTGCAATTTTTGCTGTTATTATCACTTTTCTCTGGCACTCCTTACTACTAGTTCCCATATTGTATTCATTTCTATGCTTGGTCGGCTCAGGAGATTTTTGTGGCCTAGGATATATGCTAATTCCTTAAGTTTACGAATTTTCCAATGGTGTTCATGGTCTATGATCTCAACCTGATCCCACAGAGGGTGGTGATCTCCCTTCTCTCTCCATATGTGGTCAGCCACACCTGATTTTTCCACTTCCCCTCATGTTACAGCTTTCTGGTGTTCTTGAAGTCTTACCTCAACAGTACTGCAATTTCAACTCCCACCATCCATACACAACAGGAGCCAAAGAGTGTGAGTTCAATAACTGGTTAAGGCAGTGGAGAAGTTTCAGCAGGAAATTAACAGGAGATAACTGATAACCGACATCCATTAAACATGGCATGTGGAACTAGAACAGTCTACCCCAGTGAGCGAAATAAAGGGTTCAGTTTGACATTCCAACCACCTGAAGAAGGCCGGAGCATACAACGGCAGAAATGTTGTAATAAATATGGCAACAAAGATGAGGACAATAGTCCGAATAATGTAAATAATGTATTGGTAGTATTCATATAAATATAGACAACATTGGAAGAGCATCTTTCTATTCTTATCAAAAAAATTGCCTTTTCCTTAATCTCTGTTGTAGAGAGTTTTATTCAATCAGCTGACAAGGATCATACTATATTCAGTTTTTGTTTACTAAATAATACCTAATACAAGGCCCAAGAGCCAATCTAAGTAGAGGGTTACTGAGTAAGGATGTAAGAAGCAGTAAATGCATATTATTAAAATATGTATTTACACTACCCATATTCGGACTATTGTCCTCATCTTTCTGGTTGTTATCACATTTTGTCCATTACGCCCTCCAGCCTTCCTTATATTGATATAGGTTAATTGTTCTGTAGGACAATAGCTTAGTGAATTAAAGTGTTCATTTGTGAATTTGGTGACATAGTGATTGTGAATTCAATCCCTGGGCTGGCCAGTGTATAGTTGGACTCCATGTAAATAAGCTAGCAATAACTGAGCAGTACTAAAACTAAAAATAAGAACTATACAACATCGCTAGACATGAGCAGTAGAATGAGAACAGTCTACTCCCATAAATTAAATAAAGAGTTTGGTTCAGAATTCCCTGTTCGTTATCCAGAGTGATATACACTCAAGGAAGGCCAGAGAGTACAATGGCCAAAATGTTGTGATAACAAAAAAGATGAGGACAATAGTGCGACTATAAATAGTGTAAATAATGATAACTCATCATCCTAGAGATTCAGACAGAAATAGGGATATGTAAGATATATTTTTCACCCTAAATAATGCTATAAAGTCACAAGAGATTAATGAGTGTGAGAGAATATGAGAAAAAAATACTATTAAGGAGAGAGAACAATAAAAGAAACTATTAGCATAGAACTTACATTTACATCTAGCGGCCATTTCAACTGTAAAATGATGAGACCTTCTTGCCAATCTACTACTGCACTTAAATTCATAAAATCTAGGTACCATAGAGGAAAGTTCGTCAGAACAATTACCATGAAAGTATTTATAGAAAAGACACAGGGAAGCGACATTAAAGCGGCCAAAAAGTGATTGAAGCCGACATGCCAAATTAGGATCAATAACATTACAGATAATGGTTGACCCTGGATGGTTGAAGAGGTTAAGATTGCAGTAATTAGGGAAGCATCGTCTCAGGAGTCTGTCCCACAGATTAGCCATTCTTAAGAAGAAGAAGAAGAAGAAGAAGTCTTACTTCTTAAGAATGAAATACAAAGGGAAGGAAGATAATTCAATCTTGTATATATGGCATGGATAAAAAAAGTCTGAACTAGTAGAACCAAAGAATGTAACTTATCTGAACATTTTCCATGAAAATAGTAATAGGGTAGCAACAGGCTTGTGACATTTTGCTTATGGAAAAGGAGCTGTAGGGTTGAAAATAATTGATAACCCATGAGGTTGTGTAAATGCTTTTGAACTTTGTCAAGGCTGGAAAGTAATGATTGGGCAGCTCTAGCCCCGATATGGCTGCAATACTTCATTTTTGGTTCTGATCTAACTCTCTTGTAAAGAGAGAGCATGACAAGAGGAATCATTAAGGTAATATACAAGCACACTCTGTGAACAACCTGAAGGAAATGTGATGTTCTTTATATAGACAATATATTTCCAACACCAAACAAACATATAAACAAAAAGAATGTATTATGAGATCACTACTTTCACCAATGTTGGCTAACATGTGAATGACACCATCATTCTCTGGCCTCAGAAGAAAAATGTACAAGCACTATCAAATCATGTGATTCCAATAAATGCAGTTCATTGCAGAGAAAGACTATCAATATTGCTCACAGTAGAAAATGAATACAACAAATTTACTTTCCTAAATGTCTGAGATGACCTGCACAGAATGTAGAACAAGGATAATTATATATGGGAAATCAACACTGATTTTTTTAGTCTGTTGAATGGAATAGTTTATTAAAACTAACATTTTACGGCATGTATTGACCCATATATACAAAACACTATAAACAAATCCAGTGAACACTAAATATAAAGAAAATGCCTCTACCTTATACAAAAATGGTTACCAAATATATCAAAAGGCTCTGTAATCAATATATCAGAATAACTAGAGTAGTAAAAATTACTCAATATAACTTCTTCACAAAGGTTAGTTTTAGCAGTTAAGGCCTCCCATATCATAGATCCTGCAAGACCATTAAAACAGGTCAACAAAAAGAAAAAGATTCCTTGATAAAACTAGATGATGTGTAAGCTTTCATATTAATAGCAGCACAAAACTGTAACTCTCAAATCCCATCATTACAAGAGGCTGTTAAAAAGTTTTCAACCAGACCACTATCCTCAAAATCACTATTCTGATGTTTGATCATTGAAATACTAATTTTAGGAAGCAGGTTTGGATGAGAACTTTTCAACACCTCTTTGTGATATTCTAATTAACAAAATTAGAACACACAAAAAGTGATCAATGAACAAATCTGAAGAATTTATTGGCTAAAACATTAAAACCAACAATTAAAGAATTTCAGAAAATAATGGTTGAAAAAATGATTTATAAATTTTAATTTTATTTCTCTGAAAAATTAAGTTTTTCCTTTAATCAATATATCAGCAAATTTTATGAATAAAAAGTGATATTGAAATTGATATTTGCATGAATCTTTTTTATCCAAAACAATGTCTTTAAATCTCTTTACCAATGAAAAACAACACACAAATAGGGGAAAAAATAGAAAAACAAAGACTGAAGCCAATTCCCAAAAAACAAATTTGTCAATATTTCAATGTAATTTGCATTGCTAACATTTTTGGAATCACCTTCATTCTTATCTTAGTTAAATTGTTTAATAATCTCTTAAAGTAAATGAAATACTAACAAAAAAACATTTATGTGTTATGTCTTCTGTATATCATAAACAAAACTAAAAACACAAAGAAGAATTTAAAAAATGATAAACAAGCATAGAAAATTTACCCAAGACACAAGGCAGGTAAATGTAAATGATTTTTTTTTATATACACTTTTAAAATATTTTCATTTTGAATAGTTAGAATAAAATTCACAGTAAAATGTAACTAATCTGTTTTTTTTACTTTTTAAAACTTTAATATTTTAGCTTCTTTAATTTATTTCCTAAACATTTTAATGATGTTTTTATTATGCTACTACTTTATATACTATAAATGATAACAAAAATGATTTAGGATTAGTTTAAAATTTTTCAGGACAAATTTTTGGGATGGTCCCAGGACAAAGGTGATAAAAATTAGTCTGAAGTTTTGATCACAATAATTCATTCATTTTCACAAGAACAGCCTAAATCTATCATTTGCAATCCTTGTCGGCTTGCTTTTTGACCAAAGAATTCTTGTATTAATCTACAATTTATGTGAATTATGCATTTTTTACAGTAAGAGACTGAGTTTGGGTTTAACTGTCATCAAATAAATCTTGTTGTTTCTGTATAGGGAGTCCAAAGACAACAGAGTAAGAGGTATCTTCATGAGTTTCCAAGAGGCTTCAATGTAATCTGAGCTCTCTTTTGGAAGTTGGTTTCTTATTATAGGATTTGAGTGCTAACACTTTGATTCATTTGGAATATAAGTGCTTGAGAGATTTTTTGTGAGAAAGACAAAAGGATGCTTTGCTATAAAGTATGGTCTGCCAAACAGCAAATTCCATGAAATGAGCACAGGATACAAAAAATCTGTCATTCACATTCATTGTTGACACAATGCAATTGATAATATGCCAATCCTTAGATCTGGGGGTGCATTTAATTTGTCTAGCTGTGAAAATGGGTGGTGTAGATGATGTTAAGGTTGAATTAATATTTCCTTTCAAATGTTTTACAAAATCATTTTTATTTTATATTTATACAAAATAACCTGATTGTCTCACATTTCATGAAAATATTTTAGTATTTTTTTCTTTATAGTCATTTTTTTTGTGTATATTTTTCTTAAAATGCATAATTTAAGTTTTGATTTATTTACATAAAATTTCAAATTAATTGACTTTTGTGATTCCCTAAGGATTCTCTATGGTTACCTTCTAATTTTGCAATTTATTATTATAACAAAAAAGAAAAGAAACACCAAAACAATAATATTGAATCTCATAAAACAGCAGAAGCTTGAAAATTGATCTAGTTTACAGTTTGACACTTCAAACAGAACAATTAAGACATACACGTTGATGGAGGTCATGGAATACTGTAAAACTAAAAGCGGATTTGTGATTTTTAAAAAATGCAGTTCGGAGTGTGTGTATGTGCGTGAAAGAAAGTATATAAAATATATTCATTCAATATTTGAATAATCATAACAGAAAAAAGAACTTATTTGGGATTTTTTGAAGTGACGAAAACAAAACTAGAAAGCAAGTTAAAAAAAATTGTAATTTAAAAGAAAGCTGAACTCGAAAAAAATTATTTTTTAAACTGAATTTTTGACACCTATATTTTCCATAAAATGGGCAAAAAAACTTAAGTTACACTACTACTTACTTGAAAAATCAGTAATATTTTGTTTTATGTATTTTAACTTAATATTTTCTCTTTTTTTTTTTCCCAAAAGCATTCCCTAATTCAAACAAGACAGTAGTGAGTAGTAGTGAGTAGTCTCATTTGAATGAAAGTTTGACAATATTCCAGAAGAGATATTCCGTTGTTGTAACTGACAATTATTAAATAGGTTTTCAATAAATAAAATATAGAAATAAATTATGTCATCACAGTGAAACATTTTATTTATGAAAGTTGTGATAAACATTCACCAACATAACAAATGAAACAATACGTCATTATACGTTATTTTATCTACGAATGCTAGAGAAAAACTCTTTTTCTGTGAACCGTATGCAATCAATAAAAAAAAGGTAATAATTGGCGAAGCATCGTCGTGTAACTGAAGTAATATTTTTTATCGACGAGACAGCTGTGAATAGCAACAACTTTAAGCTGAGCGACTACTTGTCAGACGATGATAGTGTAAGAATGAACACAGTATTAGTATTACTTTACTTTACTTTTAAACAGAAACTGGTTCATCAGAATCAGTTAACAATACTGCATTTGCGTGAAACACAGGGAGAAGTGGTAAGAGATTTGATTCACTTGTGAAAGAACTTCGAGAAGCTTCTTTAAAAAGCCGAAACACCAAGTTGGTTGAAATCAATGGATTAGTAAGTTTAATGAGCTTAATATTTTTATAAAAACTAAGAATCTTGAAGTCTTAACAAAAGTTTATTTATTATGTAAAAATAACCAGTCTCGATCAACAAGCAAGCAAGCACTTGTTTTACTAAATATGAGAAGGAATGCTTCTCACTCAAGATAAATGTTAAATATTAGTAAATTATACGTACACATACTTGAATAACAAACATAGTTATTGACTCTAGTAAGCATTGATTTTCTGATCTATTTATCACATGCTAACGGCATGTCTTACTCAACGTGATTGGTGCTGTTCTGGAACAATTTTACACGAGGAACACAACTCAATTTAAACCGCCACCGTTTTTGTTCTGACTATTACAACAATAAATATTTTTGTTGCCAAACGATACGAAAGTTGAAAGTGTTTTTCTGTCAAAAATTGCAAATATATTTTTGACAATAAAACTGTAAAAATACCTGCAGAACAAGAAGAAAAATCTTGCATGTCAGAGCAAAATAGATTAAGTCTCCTTGACTGTAGTCCATGCTCTTTCCAAAAGAGTTTAGTTATGGTGGTGTTCATTGGTTAATTTCTAATGGCGATTGAAAGCTCGTATTTTATTGGTTAGTAATACCTCGCATGGCCGACCTTATCTGTACAGTAAATTGTGAAGGTAAGCGTCTAGGTCTTCGATGTTGTGCTGATTTTTTTAATATTTTTTTATTTTATAATTATGGTATAGCCTAACTAATTTTGCATATCTTCGATAGAAAGATCTCCGCTTCTTTGTATCAATTTAAATGATATTTTGCGCGCGAGAATTTTTCGCAAATAAGACTTTAACTAACCCCACGTGTGTTCTTCCTTGATTTGATCTATTCTACTTGCTTGCTTGGCAACGCCGGTGTGTGATTCAAATATAGTTTGTTCGTCTCTAAATAATTTGTACGAAATTACATTTAGATTTGTCTATTAGTTGTAAATTTTGGCCCGTAATATCTTCTGTAGTTGTTAATTCTATTGATACCATCCAAACTTTCTCATTTCGAAAACCAACAAATAACGTCGAAATTTGCCCCTTGTTTTTCACAAATGTTAGCTGAAGAAAGAGTTATTTAAAAATTTAAAATAAAAGCTAAAATTAGAAAAAAATGTTTAGTTGCTTCTCCTTATTACCTTTTTTTTGTCTTCTTTATTTTCATTAGTAGACAAATTACTTTGGCAAGCCAATTTTTATTGTAGAAACCTTTGAAACTGTTCAACACTTACATTTCCATTGTTCTTTCTTGAAGATTAAGAAGCCAGTTTCATTCGTTTCATTAGGGTAATAAGCGTCTTGTGTTTTCAGTGTTTTTAAAATTATATTGATTTCCGAATTTTTTTTTCAATCTATAAACTTGGGAATTACAATTCTTTATTAGTTGATACTCTCGTAGTGCAATTACATTTTTTAGGTCAGTAGGCAAGAGTGTTGACTCAGTTTTCTTTTTATATGGGGATTGTCTTTTTTCAATTTTATCAAAACAATGTGCTTTTGTTTATGTTTTGATTCTGCTTGTAACTTTTTTTTATGTCTGTTTCTTATTAAATATATTCTAAACGAATTGTGTTTTCCTGTTGAAAATATTGTTTCTTATTCTAAACTTTCAAAATGTATGTATTATTATTTCTCTTGGTGATTGTTTTTTATTATTTTCAATTTTGATCATTGCTGTGAATTTGAAATCCACCCCACATTTAGCTACAAAAATATTTATAATATTTAAAATACAACAATTATTATTTTATTTAATTGTAATAAGTTAAATCGAAATCCTTTTCTCGGATTCGACTATAAATGCTGTTATTTATTTTTAAGGTTTGGACCAACTTGGTTGGTGTCTGTATTATTGATGTTTTTGTTATTCCCCCGTTTTCAATTATGGCTATTTAACAATAATAATTAAATAAACCTTATTAATTACAAAATAATACAATTCGAAATCGGTAATCTTTGTTCTATTTTAATTATTTGAAGTATATTATTGAATTCTATTCTTGACCACTTTTTTCTTTCATCGTTTTCTATGTCTTTTTGGCTTTGGAAATATGATTCAGCAGCGGTTTGATTAAAAGAAAAATATTGTTTTAAACAAATGTTTAGTTTAGGGAAAAGTTCTTTTGTTTTTATAAATCGTGTAGTTTAGTTTTCTTTACTACTTTTTTTAAAAATTTATTAAAATAATTTTTTGGTTGTAATGTAGGTAAGAATAAAAAAGAAACACAGTTGCATTCATCTAAGAAAAAAAGAGATGCATCATTAAACTAGAGGCCATGTTTATGTTGGAAAAACATATACTTGATTTGTGCACTCTAAAAAAAAATTGTCTTTTTAAATAGATTCATTGACCATATTTACTTAGTTTACCCAGTTGTTTGTGTAATAAATTAATATTTAACAGAACTTTAATTCAGTCTCATTACATGAACAGAACATCCAGGATGCCTAGTGCTTAACAAATTAGTTTGGTAGACATTAGATAATTAGCAAGTATAATGCACATAGAGCATGATTGCGATCTTGTGTCAGACTAAGCTAAACTTTGTAAATATTGGGTTGGCCAACCACTTTGTTAGATGGCATTCAGAGCATCTATTTTTTTTAACTACATTCAAAAAGATCACTTTTGATTACACTTTGACTTATGGTATTGTTTTATCTTTTTTTATTGTCAGAATCTTCATCTAGTTGAAGAGGGAAGAAAATAAGCAATATTTTGGACATATGCTTGTTTTTTTTTATTTTTTAAAAAGGTGAAAATGTGCCTCAAATGAGAATTTTAAAAACATTTGTACAGTTTATGGTGAAGGTACTTTAAATTATTGAAATCATTTTTTTTTTTTTGTGCAAAAGATTTTTTGCTGGTCAGGTAGACTAAATGATATTAATTACAACTGAATTGAGACATGAGAACAATTAATATATAATATAGGAGGGAGATAGCCCAAAATATATGCAAATCAGGTAGTGAAAATCTTTTGTATCAGCTTGGTTATGTAGTATGTAATTCATGCTAGGAAATATCAGTGTGAAATTAAATTTATTGTCTCTAAGGAACCTTTGTTCTCAGAAGTGTATTGAGCTCACCCTAAGAGATACCAAAGTAGACTTTGCACTCTGTTGTGTCAGAGGATTGACCTGGGAAGTGACCTTATAGCCACCAAATGCAAATTTGCTATTTGTAGGATGTTAGTGGTTGCCCTCAACATATAACGAGATGGTTGAGCCAGCTGCATTTGAGATGTGCATACACCAGATGACAGATATATAAGTGCCCCACCCAAGAGGGAAAGACATAGTCTTTCATATCCTCATGAGAAAGAGAGCCATCAAAACCACACACCCACTTACTAATATTAATTGATGAAATCTGGGAGGTGGGTGAATAAACAATTTTATCTATGAAAGAATCTTCTGTTTTTATTAGTTTTTACAGCTCTAACATTACATTTGGTCATTTTAATATGTGACATAAAAACAAACTCTGGAGCATATTTCTGGATATGATTTATATTTTAAATGTGACCTAAATGTTTTATTTAATACAAATCTTGATGGATGAGCAAAAGTTGATACTTTACAAAAATGTAGAATAAAAGATGTACTATCACTAATTATACCAAATACTAGTTTTCTACTAAAAATGATGGTGCTGTGCATATGGTGAGGTAAGTAGCAGGGTCTCTACTGGGGAAACAAATTAGTGATTCAAACAAATACTGCTTCCAATTAGACCAATTGAAGGCTGCAATGAACAGTGTCCTGAATTAAGAGAAATGTTTTTCATCAGGATAATTTTCCTTTGGTGACTAGGTGAATATTATAGATTGACTGGTAGAACTTCACTCATCTGTCATATTTCAGATATTGCACTTTCAGCTTACTATTTATTCTGGTCTTTATATAATTGTCTTCAATGGAACCAATTTCAATTCCCTGAAAGATTGTAAAAGGCACTTAGAATGATAATGAGTTTTAAATGGATGGAATTATGAAGTTGCCTGAAATATATCAAAAGATATTGGAATAAAACATTAAATAGGTTGTTCAATAAACTTTCTGTATATTGAATAACAAGGGAAAATCGGTCATGAATTACTGCAAGTATTATTAAAGAATAGTATAATGTTGGTTTAAAATTAAGGAAATGCTCTTGAGTTTTTTGCTATTAGAAAATATTTCAAACTGTTATCTTTCATTTATATATTATAAATACCATATTTGCTGGCCTATAAAAATTTTTCTTAAACTTTTGTTCCCTATAACTTATTCAACAAAAGTTGTGTAGATCTTTTCATGTCCAGTCTCATAGCTGTAATAATACTAAAGTATTGGATGAGGTGTAATATTTATGTAGATGTGTATTACATAGGCTGACAGTTTTTCTAATACAGGTTTTGTTATTTCAAACCATTTTATATTTGCTTTTTATATATATTTTCTCTTAGGCACGGTGGAGTAATGGATAGTGGCTTGGATTGAGGAATCGGAGAGCCGAGTTCGAATTCCAGTCAAATCCATTACATTCACTTACATGCTAATACCCTTGGGAAAGGTATGAATCATCATCTTCTCCTCCCAGCTATGGATAAATAGCTGGACAGACCAGGTTCTATAGCTTTGGATGGCAACTGGTCTACCGCAGAAAGAAATGGCAACCTACTGCGGGAAAAATCTGCCTTGTCAGTCATGTATTGAAAGATACATGATCGCCTAAGCATGTATCACACATGGCACATAACTAACTGAACTGATTTGAAATAGATTGTGTTCACCTACTCATGATCTCCCTTATCTCAAACCACCTTATGATGTTCTTACGTTATCAAAGTAAGCATTTCAATCACTAGTTTCTCCTATTGTTGCTAACACACAATGCCAAGATTGAATATCCCAAGATTGACAATCTTAACTTTATTGTATTTTTTTCTACCAATCAAATTTTCACTAAATACATGTTTACAAATATGTTCATTGTGAAATCATTCAACCTCTGTTCTTGTAATTTTCTAATTTAAATGTGTGTTTTTGTGCTGTTGCGAGTCATCAGACTGAAGGATTAACTGAGATCGTTTCTTCTAATCATTAGCATAGATAATGTTTCTGTTCAAGTGAGGATCAAGTTATTCAAAATAATTATCTATGATTGACTTAGCAGAAACATTTGATATATTTTTACATGAAAAATTATTCTTAGTTATTTCATTTCATTTTGCAATTAATCTTATATTCACTTTAAACACCTCACCAGTGAAATTATTTTTAACCTATTTATTTATTTATGAAAAAACTAAAATTACTTTAAACACTGACTTTGTCAAAGTAAAGAATTAAGTTACATAGAGGTTCTCAAAATAAAAATGAATGGAATTTTTTAAGGTGTTCATTAGGATTTTTTATGATGTTAACTATTATCATTTTTATGCAGTATGATTTCTCTTTTAAAGGATGTAGGAATCAAAAAATTGGCCAACAATTTCCTGAATTTCAAGCCTGTTGGAGTAC